CCATCTGCCTATCTCTCTCTCTTTCACATACACACAGACCAGGACCGCCAGTAGTACGTACTACCGACGGTCCTGCGCAAACATACACATACACAGACATATATACACACAGAGAGATATATACCCACATACAGACATAAATATATATATATATATATATATATATATATATATATATATATATATATATATATAATCGGTTTTGGTTGTAATTTTAGTGTTCATGATGTGTCAGTAAGTGTCGTGGTGTAGCGGCTAGATGCTTACCTGCGGATAGGAAGATCGTGGGTTCGGGTCCTGACGTTTTTTTAAATGACCTTCGCTTCCAGGTCGACCCAGTCTTAAAATAGTACCACGTGGAGTCCTTTGAATTAGAGGCGGCTGGCGTGATATTGACCACATTACCCATCGAGTGTCGATTAGTCTATCAAATATATGTCTAGCCCTATATGCCCAGTACGCATGAAGGCGTGGGTAAGGTCCTTTACCTTTTACTAACGGTGTGTAAGTTCAATACAAAGCAATAGTTGAAGCGGTATCTTCATCTGATAAGAACGCCCTGTTATATGTTCCTATGGAGAAATAGAAACTGTGGTCATCTGATGAGAATGCCCTGTTATCTGCTACTATAGAGAAATAGAAACTGTGTGGTCATCTGATGAGAATGCCCTGTTATCTATTACTACAGAGAGCCAGACTGAGGAAATGATACACGGCAAGGAGAATAAATTTTAAACATGGAAGTACTGCATCAAGAACAACTGTAATGAAGTGAAGTCCAAAGTATACTGCGCATTAGAAAGAGCAAATTAACTTCTTTTTTTTTTTTAACATACACTCTAACACACAGATTCTTTACTGCAGTTCACGTCTAGTATGTCCCGCCCTCTCAGTAGTGCCACTATTTGTGCCGGTCTCACGTCAGTAATTTTGTGAATTATTGTTCGTGTTTGTGGTATTGCATATTCAAGCAGTGTGCTGACGAAGGCTATCATGTCGCATCGTGCACTTGTTGTTTGTGCTTGTGATGATGATGTTAAGCTTACTGGTTCTAATCTTCGTTTGGTTTGATACAAGTTCATGATTGCCAAAAAGACTTGTCTATGGCGAGCGACAAAAAAGAAAAGGCTTTCAAGGTGGACAGAAGAAACATTTCAAGGACAACTTCAAGACCTTTTTGAATGACTTCTGCGTTGATCCTAAAACCTGGGAAGTCAATGCATGTGACCGCTCATCCTGGTGCTGCACTTTTTGTCAAGGAGCTGTAGAAGACAGTTGTGTTATTAGAAGATGTAGTTCTTTTGTCGGGTGAATGACCAGTGTTTAAATATGTCGCAAGCGATAGAAGTGTGAATAATCGTGGAGCATGTTGAATAAATGCAACAGAATAAACTGACAGCATGAACAAGGAAGCTAAGCGGCGTTTGTGTTATCAATCCCAGACGTCAGTGCAGCGCAAGTAGATATGTTGCAGTAATTATATGGAATTGAACTATTGCGAAAGCCGATACGTCGTAAGCCAAGGTACATTTCAATTGTCGTTGTAAACCAAGGTTCATTCCAAGATTCGTGATATTTGTAAAGATTTACTGCAGTTCACTAATTTCACTTACACACACACTTTGCTGAGTTAGCGGTAGGAAGTGTAGAATACCAGAATGTTTAGCTTTCTGAGTCTCCGATGTAACGAATAAATAGATAATATTGCCACATTTTCTTCATCCAGACGTCTGGGGAAATCCACCCTGGTTTTGATTCCCATGTTTGGAGTCCACTATCTGGTGACCATTGGCGTGCCGGAGAAAACCAATCCAGTCATGGAGACAATCAAGCTTTACTTCGAAATGTTCTTTAACTCGTTTCAGGTAAACTTCTGTACATTATCCACCAGTGAAAAGTTATGTCTAACTCATCTTTTATATTTTCATGTATTTACACACTTCAACCTACACACGTCACATACGGGCTGGACCCTGGAGGTTCACGAACCTTTAACCTGCTCCCAGAAAAATGGGCTAAGCCGGAGCCAGTATGTGCTTCTCCTGAGTGCTGTGATGTCGAATCTTTACATGAGGGTCCACCACACCCCCCAAGAAACTATGTAAGAAAGCCAAGCCCCCTCCTCCCCCCGCCCACTTAAGTTTGTGCTTGAGTGTGTGTGAGTGTGTGTCGGCCCCCCTGCCTTATAGTAGCAATATCAACACCTACCTGTCCACTTTTCCCACAATCACACATTCATACCTACGCAGAGACCTATTTGCCTTCTAACCAACTTGGCTAAATACCGGCATATTTGCCATTCTACCCTTCTGAAAACCTACCTGTTTTGTTACAGACTAACATTCATATCTAACTACTTATGTGTCTCAGCCCGGCTCGCTAGCGTAGTTGGCTAAGCCTGACGTCATGGCGACCGGGTGACGAACTCCTTGTGGTTCGGGTTTACGCTCGGGGGGTAGGCAGAAAGGCCACATTTCTCCCTTATATACAGTATTTATCACGGAATCAAGGCCGAAGGGTTGCAATATCCATAGTACCGAGCCAAAGGGTTAATAACTCATGATTTCTAGATATTGAAAAAAAAATTAATGTTTTACTTACTTATATACATCCTAATTACACCATTATTTACCTATCAACCTACTTCATATATCATAATTTAAATTCTTCGCTGGTTGCTGGAGATGTATACGGGGCGCTTATGGGAATGTCATGAGTGTAGTTCGTAGCTCAGCACTCACCGCGCTACCTTCTTCATTCCAAAGACTCAGGTTCGAACTCTCGCTAAGGTGGCGGATTTTGTTGTTTTTGATCTGTCGTTGTCGAAACTAAAATCCCCAACCTGTACCGTTCCTGGCGACTGGACAGTCCGGAGGACTTCAAATCATCTGCTCCAAGACTGCTCCTTTTCCCTGTCTGTCTCTCATTTGATCTCGATCATCTTGCACTTTGCGGTGTCGAGGTGAAGTAAAATGTGTGTGCTTTGTAAATAGGGATTCCCAGCGATTCTGTAATTCTCTCTGTCCATAGCTTGCATGGTCGGCCTCTTCTTCGCTTCCCGCATAGTCATGGTATCATTGCCTGCTGTGGCATATTGTCTGCTGAAATCTGCGTTATATAGCCGAACCATTTCACCAGTCGCCTTCTAATGAAATCCAAAGCTGCTGTCACCTTCATTTTACTTTGTGTTTCAATGTTTCTGATCTTCTATTTATTTTGAGAGCCCTTCGCAGGAATATCATTTGAGACGTAATTTTTGTTTTCTCTTTTTATTTCAATAATTAACACAGGTTTGGCAAAAAGATTGTGTCACAGAGTTCATTTTAGATTTCTGCAGATACATGTTTGTTTCTAAGTATTGGTGCAATTTGCTAAATGAGTTGGTTTGCTCTGTTTCATCTGTCACCAATCTCATCCTGTTTTACCAACTGGTGTTATTAAGTTTCCTAAGTATTTGAAGTTTTTGGTTTGTTTCAGAGGGTGTTCTGTAGACTTGATATTTATTATTTTTATCAGCTTTGGCTTTAGTCATGACCTCTGTTTTGCTGGTGTTTATTTTCATATTATTCACTCTTTGCAAATTTGGTTTCAAAAATGTATATTGTCTTGCAGTTCGTTTTCTGAAGTAGCTATTAGTGCATGGTCGTCTACAAATAGTAAGTAGTTCTTTGATGGAACTTCGGATCTTCTTCTCTTTGGTATACTGCAGTAATTGCTTGGTTGGTTTCTTTACTGATATTATTAATGTAAATTATGCTTATTAATTGCGTATTCACAACATACCTTTTCAAGATTCCTCATAGTTTGTTCCTATCTACTCTGTTATTTGCTTTTTCTTGGTCGAAGAAAGCTAAACATAGTGTTTCGTTAAATTCAATTACTTTCTCTAAAAGTTGTCAGAGTGCAAAGGTGACATCTGTGAATCCCATGTTTTTCCCTAAATCCTGGTTGCTCTTCACTTAGCTGGGGCTCGGTTACAGGTCGTAGTTTCCTGTTTGTTAATTAGTTAGTTGCGTATCCTTGACAGGACTTTGCAAGACCAACCCCTAGCATTTTTTGGCGGTGTTGTTTTTCTAGGCAAATTTTACGTTCAGTAGTTTGCCATTGCCACTGAACAGTCAGCTTTCGGTACCACTGTTAAAACCAAGGCAAAATCATCCGCAACTGGGATAAAACCTGATATTCAGGAATTACGGAGCCCGCATCGCATTAGCCACAGACACCAACTCCCTGTCTGTACCATTCTAAAAAGTAGTAAACAGATCCGCTAAGGACAATAAAAACTAAATATGTATATCTCTCAAAGTCTGTCTTCCTTGTTGTCTTTAACAGTCTACCGTTCTCACTCTTAACATCTGTTCCCTAAATGTCTGCATATCTCTCGCTCATTCTAATTTATATTGCTATATTTTTCCATTGCAGGGCCTACTGATCGCCTGCCTGTTCTGTTTCATGAATGGAGAGGTACGAGAAACTGTTAGTATCACCTTCTCTTTGCAGCCGTCTTGATCTAGCATGGGTGTCTGTAGATAGACTGTGTTACTATTTTAGTTAAACGTTATACTGACAATCCTAACTGTAACACAGTTAAACGTTATACTGATATATTTGACTGTAACACGGTTAAACATTACACTCATGAATTTAAATGTAACATTGTTAAACGTTATGATAATTATGACTGCATCACAGTTAACACTAATAATTCTGTAGCACAAGTACTATTATGATATTATTTTGAAAGAAGCCTGAATTTACCATTCGAACTGCTCATCTACTTTTGAGGCACACGGGTGCTGACCCACAAGCAGTGGTACACCAGGGCACATACTAGCCTATCTACACCTGTCCGCGGTCATCCTAAAAACAGATTCTCAACTTGGAACCCGACCAGCGTTAAAAGATCGACGTAGGACTACATCTGCCTGAGGGGTAAGATTGGCTGCACAGTCAGTCAAATCTGTCAGACAGACATGCACTTAAAAACGGAGGTCCTGAAACAAGACTATAGCCAGCAGAACGCGACGATATACGATTTACTTTCCAAATTAATAAGATATATTTCCGGTCTATAGTCAAAAGGATCATTTCCTCCCACATTACACTTCTTTTTTTAAAAACAGGCTGGTTCATAATCATTTTTATCAAGTGCCCTGCCAACTGGCCTAGGTGCTCATGCGTCTCCACAGATTACGATCTCTCGTTGCCTAGAACAGCTCTCTTGATGATATCCCTCAATACCATCGTTTCAGCCCATCCATCATCGTCTCTCTTGGTCTGCCTCTTTCCCTTTTTCCACTGATCTTTCCAGTTGTCACGATGTTCTCCAGTGTCTCTCTTCTCATTATGTGGCAAAAGAACAGTGTTTGTCTTTTTCTTATTGTTGTATATAAAGACCTACTTTCATTAGCTTCTTTCAAGCAATCGTTGTTAGTTACTATGACCGTCCAAGGTATTTGTAACATTCGTCTCAGAAACCACATTACTGCGGCATCCAAATTCTTCCTAATTCGTTCACTGACATTCCAAGTTTCGCTGCCATACAGCAAAACAGGTTATATGAAACATTTTAGCACCCTCTTTCTGACATTAAATGAGAGCAATCTATTACATAAGATATTTTTCATTTTCTGAAATGCAGCTTTCGTTTGACTTATTCTGCTTTTAATCTCTGTCACACATTTTCCAACTGATGATATGATTGTTCCCAGATTTTTAAATTCATTGACTTGGTTAAGTCTTTTCCCTTTTCCCTTCAATTGAGATATCATAACGTGGATTTACTTCTTCTTTGATAAAACCATTACTTCTGTTTTCTTAATATTCAATAAAAGTCCTTTTTTAGGCTGTGGTTTTCTTGCCTTCCTTTAGCACAGTATAACACTATCGTTTAGAACAGCGATTCTCAACTTGTGGGTTATGTCCCTTTTGGGGGTCAAAAGACCCTTTCACAGCGGTCGCCTAAGACCATCGGAAAACATATTCACTGAAGTTATGAAGTAGAAAAAAAAATAATTTCATGATAAAGGGTCACCACAAAAAGGGAACTTTATTAAAGGGTCTCGGTATTAGGAAGGTTGAGAACTATTTGTCTCAAAGGACGAAAATGTGCCAACAATCGGCAAACTTAACTCTTTCAGTCCTATGAAACGTGTGATGTGTAACAGACTTTTCCAAATAAATTACAGGCATCGCTCAGTGTGTTAACCTCACTTTTATTATTGGTTAGAGCACGCTAAAGATATCTGGCTTTCTTTTTGGCGACTTCCGCTGCATAATTTGCCTGTTTGATAGTTTTGCATACATTACTTTTCATAGTTGTCATTCATTCTCTTGAGCATTTGCCGCGTGAACCCCCTTGGGATTGCAAGTGTTAAGTTAACGACAACTGTATCACCCATTGTGGTAAATGGCGAGGATCTGTTAAGCTGTCTGCGATAAGAGATTCGTGTTGCTAAGGAGCTGTGAAATGATAATGTACCAAACTATTTTTATTTTTAGATATGTGAGTATGTACGTGTGTGTGTGCGCACGCGCGCGTGAGTGCGTGAAGGTCCTGGGTTCGTTTCACGGCCGCGTCCTTCAGTTCACTAGAGACATTTTTGGCGAGATTCATCGGAATTGCTGCCGGAGCTACGAGGTTCGTGCTTTGTGTACCACTATCAACAGGCGACTAGCTGTTCTGTTGACAGATAATGAGCCGTATGGAATAAAACCCAGCGCAATGATGTTTATCTTCTCGACTTTAATAAAGGGGCCTTTTTTCTCGTGCTCAGGATAAAGACATAAAGTGCTAGATTTAACTTTAACTGTTTAGATTACACATGCGTATTTTTTTTTTATGTCCCTATCTGAAGTAATTAAGTACTTGTATGTTTATTTTTAAAATTCGCATGTTTAAATTTGTGTTTATAAACTGTATGGTAACGTTGGTAGTTAGCAAGGGCAGAATGTTTCACATGAACATTTCGTTCAAGACCAAAATCTATTTCCGTTTACATTCTAACAGCGTAGTCAAAAGTTATAAAACTATTTCGCATGTTTTTTAAACTTGTTTACTTTCCAAGTACATGCATGCTAGTACTGTCAGTGTAGGAATGGTTTTGAATTTGATTACTATTTATTATATACTATTTCCCAATGTTTGCCTCTCTCCAAGTGTGGTTTTTGCAATTTGTGTCTGATGTATCATTATCCCCACGCTATCTCCAGCTCGTTGTGATATATCCCACTCGTAATGCAATATTTAATTACTAAATCGTTCTTATTATTGTATCGCTGTCTGAAATATAACATTACCCCGCATCTACTTTATCTTTGCTCGATGGATGGACATTCACAATGAGCTCAAATGAGAATACCACCAAAATGATGAATAGCGCCTTTGCTGTTACAACTAGCAGAACTACAATGGACACCGTGGCCGTAACAATAGAACTGGCATGGCTGGGTACTCAAGAGTTCACACACGCCTGCAGGCTTAATAACTCAATGAATGTCCTTAAGAAAATCGGGACTTGATTCATCAAGCTAGAACAGATTGTATCACTAATCACCTCGCGAAGGGCTGACATAACCTTCATCTTTATGCCAGGTAATGTCGGTGTTCGAGGCAACGAGAGTACATATCACCCTGCAGGCATCGCGGTTGCTACGGTAGGTCAGGTATTGGACCATGCGAAGCCCTTACCGCGAAGACAAATATAACAAAGGGCATGACCCCCTTTCATGTCTAGGCTGATAGACATGGGAATACAACATGGAGCAGCAAGGAATGAACATTTCGCTGAAAGAAAGGGATGTTTGATCAGTCCACACAGAATAGGCGTCATCAGTCGTTTAACGCTTGTGAAGCTACTGACGGGGAGATCGGAGCACCTATGGATATGTCCGTATTCTTAATACGATAATCCTCATTATTCACTAACCACTCGGTATCTCCAGTCACAAGTTCACGACTATCTGAAACGTCTACCCTGGTGTACAGAAGAACGAGGTTCAAAGCCAGATCTGCAGCGCAAGGTAAACGCTAAGAAGTAGTAGAAGAAGAGGAAGACTATATAAATCTGAAAAACCGTTAATTAAAATAAAAACTTTATCGTAAGGGATCCCGCCTAACAGGTGTGTTAAAATTCTTCTCCTTCTTATGGAAATCGAAAAAGGCAATTACATCCCAACCCCTCCCCCCACCCCCGGGGTGCCGCCACTCACACTCACACACACTCACACACACACACACTCACACACTCACACACACACACACACTCACACACACACACACTCACACACACACACACACACACACACACACACACACATACACACACACACAACAATCGCATGCACCAACCATAGAAAAGTCCCGTGCCTTTCATAGTTAAAAAGTAAGTAGAGGACCATTTATTAATTACTGTCCCGACAGTGGGACTCAATTTTTTTTTTTTGTTATTTTAAAGTCCCACTCCCAGCTGTTGTCGAGGACCCTAAATATAACCTAATTGTTGAACGGGGCTTCTAGGAGAGTGCTCGGGTGATTGTCATCCGAGTGGTGGCAATTTGTGTCACTGGGTGTTTACCTCTCCTTGTGAGATCCTGGTGGAGTTGCAGTCAGTCAGTCGGTCAGCCAGTCGGTCGGTCAGTCGGTCGGTCAGTCAGTCAGTCAGCCAGTCGGTCAGTCAGCCGGTCAGTCAGCCGGTCAGTCGGTCAGTCAGCCGGTCAGTCGGTCGGTCGGTCAGTCGGTCAGTCAGCCAGTCGGTCAGTCAGCCAGTCATTCAGTCAGTCAGCCAGTCAGTCAGTCAGTTAGTCAGGACCCGTTTCCACGCCTTTAAGGGTATTGGGCAAACAGGGCTAGACCAGGACCGTCTTAACAGCATTATGGTCCTCTGGGTATACCTGTGTGCTGAGGCCCCTATGACAACCACTTACATGAATGAAATGTAAATGGTCGACAGCATTTAAAGTATATTTATTTTACTGGCACTTCAATAAAACTGACGTACGAAATTTAAACATATATTATATCGTACGCTATGAAATTACCGCAAATTCGTATTATGGCATGCATTTGGAGCATTTCTTTTCACATAATTGCTTTATTATTGGCTTGGAGGAAGTGTACTTCAGGAAGTCCTGTTCCAGGCAACGCACAAGAAAGTCATTCCAGACATTTTTTTAAATCAGCTTCAGTTTTGAAAAAGAACGTTCTCCTGTACAGTTGGTTAACAACATGCACTTGAACACTCTAAGTGCAAATTTTAACATTCGAGAAAACAGATTTCAAATTGTCCGCAATTTTTTTCTGCACAGTACAGGAAGAGACTCACAATTTTCATTAAATAACCCTGTAATGCTTGAGACACTCACGTTCATTCAAAAGATCTTTATAATTCAGGTATTTGTGACACATTTTAGACATACGTTCAAATTGTTTCTTTAGTGCACAAAAAGCGATGGTTTGCAATTCA